CAGCAGTGAGAGTGATCTTTAAAAATACAGAAATTGGGTCATGGTGCACCTGGGTGGCTCAGTCAGTTAAGCATCTGACTCTTGATTTCGGCTCAGGTCATGATCCATGGTGAGCGTGGAGCCTGCTTGGGATTCTTTCACTCCCCCTCTGCCCCTCTCTCATTCACTCTAGATAGATAAATAAATAAATAAGTAAATAAATATTAGATCATATCATTCTGATTTGTGTTCCAGCATATTTTATATAAATCTTAATTCCTGAGCTGGCGTGGGCCTTTCTGTCATTTTCCCCTCCTTCATATGATGTGCACGGTGGCCTTCTTTCTATTTGTTTAGACAGCCATCCTCCCCCACTTCCTGCCAGATCTGTTTCCTTGCAGATCTGTTTCCCATGCCTGGAATTCCCTGCCCCATATTCCATATCTTGTCGGTTCTGTCCTTCAGGGCGTAGGTTCATTGTTAGCTTTTCAGAAAAGCCCTTTCAGGCTGTTCCAGTCCGGAGTGTGTTCTCCCTGTTGTTCTTTTAGTCCTTTTACAAATCACATTTCATAATTCACATTTGCTTTGGGCTTGTGAGGTATTGATCTCCCTCTCTAGCCTGTGAAATAGAGCAAGGCCCCGCTAGCCACTGTTTACCCAGCTTACGGGAGATGTTAGAATACCACCCAGCATGCGTTGGGAATAGTGTCCCTGCGTCTCCTGCTAACAGTGAGTCCAGGCTGGGCCTTAACAGAAACACAGGGCCAAACACCTGCTCCAGAGCTACGCGCTGCCAAGTTCAGGCCATCTGGGATGGTCTGCTTATGTGCACATGCCAGTGGACTTCTAGTCAGGCTGCCATTGGAGCCCGAGTGTAAGACAGAAGGAGGAAGTGGCCTTTGCCCTTTTGGATCTCGTTTCCTTTTCTACACACCTGTTGCTGCTGTCAGACATAAACTGTGGAATGAGAAAACCAAAACCTGAAAAGATATCCCTGCCAGGCAAGCTCTGCTTCAGATGTTGATGGCACATCCTGTGAGCCTGGTCCTAGTGTTTTGGAGACAAGGCCTGGGGCCATAGGAAGAAGGCTTAATAACACCTCAGATTTCAAACACTGGTGTGAAATTATCGACATCGTTTCCTTGGCGATCAAGGCCAGTCTTTACTATTGTCTCTTACCTGCTTTGGGGACTGTAATTCTGTTTTACCTATTTGGTATAAATGAATGTACAGGTATCACTCGCTGCGAAAGTTCACGTTATGCCACTTCACGTTTGTGCAAGACCTCCACTAGTGCCTGTTTTCACTAACTCAAAGGAACCACAAGAGGATTTGCGCTTTTATGAAAAAAGGCAGGAGGTGAAAACAGACTTCAGGTGTGTACCGCTCTCAGCGTTTACCCCGCAGGAAGCAGCAGAGTGGCGCCCCCAGGCGCCCTCCCCGGGAACTACAGCAGCCTCTTAGCATCAAGCCCCCACCTCCTGACCATTTATGTCGTGCGTCAAATGAGCAAGATGTGTCCTAAGGTATCAGAAAAATCTAAGAGAGGTTATTTGGGGGGGGGGGGGGTGGGAGGTGTCTGGGAATGCTTAAAACTTTCCCCCTATAAATTAGTGGTAATTGCTTC